CGCAATACATATTTAACACTATAAGTTATGTATGTTTCTAAATATAAACTTAATCTAAACAAACGTTGGTATTAAAATAAATATATAATAATAAATTCGTTACACGTCCAATATGGGGTAATATACAAAGCCGGCCCAGTGCATGACGTCACGTGCTTAAACTATATTTGGATGTTTCAAAGAGGCCTATTAAAAATAAAACTGCTATTGTTCACATCTACAACCTTTGACTTCCACACCAGAAAATCTACATCATGTACAAACAGCCCGCGGCTTCACTACTAGAATTTTAAAAGCATTCATCAATGTTCAAATTCCCTCACATGTGCTATATGAACCCAAACATTTACCTGACAACGAGCGTCCGTGTCGACAAAATAACCAGGTTTTCTACACCGGAACTTTGTCTTTGGCAATGGAATTCCATAGATGGGGTAGTCTTTCCCGGGTCTTCCTGGAATCCCAGGAACACCAGGCAGCTCGTTTGACTTAAAAAAAAAGTTTTACCGACAAATAAATAAAGTGTTTTCTTTTGTGTGTAGTCTCATACTTCCTTTTTCTTTTTTTGTGTGTGTATTTTAGAAGACATTTGCTATTTACGTTTCTGCCAAACGCACATTTTCTCACAAAAAATTAGCAGTCCATCAGTTACCTAGAGCGTGTGTTATGAAAACAAGATCTGTATATGCTAATGCTGTGGAGCATTGCTCCAGATCTGACATTAAGACAAAAACAAACAAACCTATTGTTAGAGTCCAGTCATCTTTGCAGCCAGTCAGAATCAGAACTAAGAGCATTTGAAAGCTACACATGAGAAGTCACCTTGGTAATTTCAAGTTCACTAAGACACAAATATAATATGTACGCAAACATTCTGTTGCAAATATAATTTATCTTCCTCGACCCTTCCGACACCTTCACCTAAACATTTTCAGAATCATGGAATCGCCATTGATTGCTAAGTCAAAATTAAGTTGAAGCTATCTGCGCCCTAACATTTGTCAACGTGAGCAACTTAGAGTAAACTCAACTACGTTAGACTAGATTTTTTCATTGATTAGACTAAGTCTTCTAGAGTTTACTTTTTAGTTTTAATGTCTGATAATTACACAGGCCTACGAATTTAAACTTCATAAAAGTTTGTTTTGGTTTTAGTAATTTTCCATAATTCAGCTACGCAGATTTCAAAAATAATAATATTTTTTTTTCTATCACGTAGGGATTTTTTTACAAATCGGGAAGAAAAAAACCTCTTACTTAGATCAAATTATTATTTCGTTTACCACAATGAAAGTTTTTTTATTATTGTGTTTATTAACAAAAATACAAACAAACTGAAGAAAAGGGACGAACATTGATGTCAAACGAATATGGATCGTCATTCATCCAGATTTTTTGTGTGTGAAATCTACGTCTTTTAGTCTCAAAACTACGTGTTGTGGTGTTTCTTTTATGTATTGCGTTATGACGTTTTGTGAAAAATCTGTACGTGATGGAGAAAAATGGATATCATTTTCGGATTTAACACACAGGAGTTACTGAAAAACATATAAAAATTTAAAGAGAATAAAACCATCGCAAGCATGTGTTATATCTCGTCTTACCTCTGGCGTATCTAGGTCTGTCCACGTATTGGCTACGAGAACTTGATGCTTTAGAAAAACATCAGCGGGCGGCTTTAAAACGGAAGTTGAATTCAGTTCAGAATCGGACACAATTGGGAGATTTGTAGTAGAAACAATAGCATCATACGTTGCCTGTTCAGTGGTGATTGAAGAACTACGTGTAAAATAATCACTTTCATCATAAAATGGTTTTGTGGTCTCGTCTTCAAAGGCTGTAGTGTTTAATTCTCCACGAACAACCCCTATGAAAAAAAAATATATGACCGAAAAGTAAAATATCTGTATGGTTTGTGAACAAGAGTAGAAATGTACAGTTGGTTCACAGAACAATATAAATAATTCTCTCTCTCTCTGAACTAGATTTTTAACATTTAATTACTTTTGGATAGATTATTTTCCTGCGTCTATTTCGCTTAAATATTTGAGTGAGCTCAGAATTTGCTCTTACAACAGCTCTGGATTTTAACATAACTAATTTACCATAAAAATCTTACCATGACAGATCCAAAGGAAAAGAAATGATCTCTTATACCACGTCTTGTTTTTCAACATTTCCTTTAATAGATCCAGCTGGTGAGTTTCCATGGGATACTTTGAAACTTCTCATTCGCCACCTAGCGAGTGGAGAAAGCATAGATTCATTGTTTGTTTTGAATTTCGCGCAAAGCTACTCCAGGGCTATCTGAGCTAGCTGTCCCTAATTTAGCAATAATAAACTAGAGGGAAGGCCGCTAGTCAACACCACCGACAGTTAGCTCTTGGGCTACTCTTTTACCAACGAATAGTCGGACTGGCCGTCACATTATAACGCCCCCACAAATGAAAGGGCGAACATATTCGATGACGGGGGATTCAAACCCTTGGTCCGCTTATTACGAGTCGAGCGCCCGAACCACCAGGCGCTTATGTCAGGCTATAGATTCATAGAGAGAAGCATTTAAAATGACTTGTTTGTTTGAGATTTCGCGCAAAGCGACACGAGGGCTATCTGCGCTAGCCGTCCCTAAATTAGCAGTGTAAGACTAGAGGG